TTAGCGGTTACCTTTTAAAAACAACTTTTGACATCCCAAGTCCGACTGAGGTCTTTGCAGTTCTTAAGGTTGTGTATATTGCTGTGGTGCCCAAAGGGCACACAACCAAGGAATTTAGCACACTGTGATTTGGGAGTGAGGTGTGGGTTTGTGTAATTCAATTCCACCCTTTCCCATGAAGCCACCCCTTGCTTCTTCTAAACTCCCTGTTCTCTGGCATTCAATAACTGTCTAAGCCAAACATGTCCTTTAGGAGGTTTGCATTATCATTTACTAAATATATTACAATTTACCTCTGTCTGCTGTTTCCTGTCTGCGCATGGTATTCCCTCATGGGAATCCCAACAAATAAACCACAAGCTGCTTTATGCATTAAAGAGAGGGAGTGCATGCATAACTGTACAGGATGAACCTCTCTAAACTGGGACTCTCTGGTCCAGAGCCCCGGCACAAGACCAGTGGCAAGGGGGGCTGTTGGTTGGGAGCTCTGCCAGACTGGCAGGAGCAGGAACAGGAGCCCTGCTGGTGCCAGGAGTCCAGCCTGGTTGGTGCTCGCAGGGAGCCCAGCTGGGCCAAGAGCAGAGCCTGGCTAGGGGGCCAGAATTGACTGTCCTGGTCTGGCCAACTCCCTTGTTCAGGACCGGTCAGGTCCTGAGAATGTCCAACCGGGGAGGTCCCACCTGTACTTGGTTTTGCCTAGCAGCTACTTTCCATTTGTAGCGAAAGAGAAAGAAAACTGTCCATCCCCTCTTCTGAGCAGCTTGCTGACCCAGTGAACAGCGGGTGCATTGTTTCAAGGAACATTTAATCAGCCCAGCTAAGATTTACAGAATTGTTACAAAGCATAAAGACCCACTAACCCATCTCATGAACAGCACACCCAGAGCTATGGTGATTCACTCTCTGCCAGGTGAAGGGGAAGCTCATTACAAGCAGTGGATGGCATCAGCATGGGTTGAGTCCCCTGTAACATGCCTGATTGGACAGCAGAGGGTGAGCCCACTCCTTTCCCTTCCCCTTCCATCTCATTTGGGAAATCACTGAACTGGAATAACCCCATCCTCCCAATTACACAGACCTCCCATCTCATTTGGAAAATCACTGAACTGGAATAACCCCATCCTCCCAATAATTGTTATGGAGTCATGTCCTCTTACCTCAATAACAACACTACTACGGACATAGTCTATCCCAACTGGGGTTCTTTTGTCTAAGTAAATGTCTTCTGAGTGTTTGCTATTCTTCAGGATTTGCATCCCTTCCTGGCAGCAGTTTGTTCCACCATAAGCAAATGCTTTCGCTAGGTAAAAGAAAGAAGAAAGGAAGAAGAGATTTAAATGTAGTAAGATTGTCAACATCTTAAAAACATTTCTCACTTCAGGATCACTCTAAACTGAGTAGAGATCACCTCAAGTATTCTATAACTAAAGTCACTATTACTTGTGTGATAGAAATGTAGCCGTGTTAGTCTGGGGTAGTTGAAGCAAAATGCAGGACAATGTAGCACTTTAAAGACTAACAAGATGGTTTATTAGATGATGAGCTTTCGTGGGCCAGACCCACTTCCTCAGATCAAATAGTGGAAGAAAGTAGTCACAACCATATATACCAAAGGATACAATTTAAAAAAATGAACAAATATGAAAAGGACAAATCACATTGCAGAACAGAAGGGGGATGCGGGGGGGTGGGAAGGGGGAGGAAGGAAGGTAAGTGTCTGTGAATTGCTGATATTAAAGGTAGGGAGAGTGGGATGTTTGTGAGTTAATGGTATTACAGGTGATAATTGGGGAAACTGTCTTGGTAATGGGTGAGAAAGTTCAAAGACTTGTTAAGTCCTTGTTGGTAAGTGTCGAATTTTAACATGAATGACAGTTCAGAGGATTCCCTTTCAAGTGCAGATGTAAAAGGTCTTTGTAGCAGAATGCAGGTGGCTAAGTCATTTAGAGAGTGTCCTTTCTGGTTAAAGTGGCAAGAAACTGTTTTCTCTTTGTGATCTTGTCTGATATCTGTTTTGTGGGCATTAATCCTTTGGCGAAGTGTCTGAGATGTTTGTCCAATGTACATAGCAGACGGACACTTTCGGCACATGATAGCGTAGATTATATTTCTGGATGCGCAGGAATATGTGTTCTTGATCTTATAACTCACTTGGTTAGGTCCAATAATGGTATCAGCAGAATGAATATGTGGACAAAGCTGGCAACGGGGTTTGTTGCAAGGGAAGGTACCAGGGTTGGTATTAGTGTGGTATGTCCTGTGGTGGTTGGTAAGAATCATCTTGAGGTTAGGTGGTTGTCTATAGGAGACTATGGGTCTGTCTCCCAGAGCCTCTTTGAGTATGGTATCCTGTTCCAATATAGGCTGTAGTTTATTGATAATGTGTTGGACAGGTTTAAGTTGGGGGTTGTAGGTGATGACAAGTGGTGTTCTATTGTTGGTTTTCTTGGGTCTGTCTTGAAGTAGATGGTTTCTAGGTATTCGTCTGGCTCTTTCAATTTGCTTTTTTGTTTCTCTGGGTGGGTAGTTGAGATTTATAAATGCTTGGTAGAGATCCTGAAGCTTCTGGTCTCTGTCAGTGGGGTTAGAGCAGATGCGGTTGTATCGAAGGGCTTGGCTATAGACGATGGATCGTGTGGTGTGTTCTGGATGGGAGCTGGATGCATGTAGGTAACTGTATGAGTCAGTGGGTTTTCTGTAGAGAGTGGTGTCTAATTTTCCATTGTTGATTTGTACGGTGGTGTCCAGGAAGTGGATCTCTCGTGTAGAATGGTCCAGGCTGAGGTTGATGGTGGGGTGTAGGTTGTTGAAATCTCTGTGGAATATCTCCAGTGTTTCTTGGCCATGTGTCCAGATCATAAAGATGTCATCGATGTACCGTAGGTAGAGGAGGGGTGAAAGGGGACGGGAGTTGAGGAAACGTTGTTCTAGGTCAGCCATAAAGATGTTAGCATACTGTGGGGCCATGCGTGTACCCATGGCTGTGCCGCTGATCTGGAGGTATAAGTTGTTCTCAAACCGGAAATAATTGTGGGTGAGAACAAAGTTACATAGGTCTGCTATCAGGTTGGCAGTAGTGTCCTCTGGGATAGTGTTTCTAATTGCTTGTAATCCGTCTTCATGTGGGATGTTGGTATATAGAGCTTCTACATCCATGGTGGCAAGGATGGTATTATTGGGGAGGTTATCGATGTTTTGTAGTTTCCTTAGGAAGTCAGTAGTGTCTCGGAGATAGCTGGGGGTATTGGTTACGAAGGGTTTGAGAAGAGTGTCTACATAGCTGGATAGACCCGTAGTGAGCGTGCCAATACCAGAGATGATGGGACGTCCGGGGTGCCCAGGTTTATGGATCTTGGGAAGTAGATAGAACAATCCTGGTCGGGGGTCAGAAGGTGATTCTGTGAGGATTTGTTCCCGAGTAGCTGTGGGGAGGCTTTTAAGGAGACAGTGTAGTTTCTTTTGGTAGTCCAAGGTGGGATCAGAGGGGAGAGGTTTGTAAAATGTGGTGTTCGAGAGTTGTCTGGTTGCCTCCTGGTTATAGTCGGCCTTATTCATAATGACCACAGCACCCCCTTTGTCAGCTGGTTTGATTACAATGTCCAGGTTGTTTTTGATTACAATGTCCAGGTTACATATTGACAAAGACTCTTCCCTCCCTCTGCAGCATTATTTCCTCTAGAGGTCATTTCTTTTTTTTTTTTTTAAAGGGAAGTTTTTAACATGTGGATAAAGATTAGAGACCACCACTAGGTTAGCATACAGATATACAAAATGAAAGCTCTTAGTTATGAGTTTGGTCAAATTAAAAATAAAGTTCTTATTCATTTTGTATATAGGCTCATTTTGTGGAAAACAAACATAAATACAGCAAACAATACTTAATGAAGAGGTAACTGCAACCTTGATTTAAAAAAAAATCCCAGAAAATAAATCATATACTGAATGGAACACCTGCAGGATTGTCAAACTGATTATTTGAAAGATAGGACTGTACATGTTTGTATAGCATTGAGTACAATGGGAACACTAAAGCTACTGGAATAACTGAAACATAATAATTGTAACAGCCTAATTTTCACAAGAAGGAGAAACTGAACTTCCTTAAAGGGACACAGCCATTTTGAAATCTAGCCAATTACAAATTAATTAAAACCCAATGGTTTGAGTTTTATAGTCACAATTTCCCTTTTTAAAATATTTCTTTCTTTCCCATGCTGCTGTACTAGAGACATTAACAAACAGGGGGAAATGACTACCACGCTGAGGCCTACATACTGACTATACAGGGGAAACAGAGAAATTGACAACACATTGTGATAGAACCATCACACATCTAAAATACTGTCCAACTAAATAAACTGGAAAAAAATTGAGCAATTTTTTCCCCTAATCTCTTCCAATTACAGGATCCTTAGATGTTACTCACTGCACTTAGCCAATAGAAATGACATATTTTCAAGCAAAAGTGGGAGTTTTAATAACATGATGCATCTCAGACGCTAGCCTAAAACGAGTAAGTCTCATTCCCAAATGAGATCTGACAGGTTTGCACTTGCTAAATTGTAGAAAAACATAAGGAAACAGGTTTCCTATGAAGTCCGACTTGGAAAAATTCCCCTTGCTGATTTGGGAGAGGTGAGGTTTCTTTTGACAAATACTGGTGATCAAACTTCACGGCAAAGGGTGGGCAAAATCTGGGTGGGTTAAGCTCCAGAGGATTTGCAGTTGAATCTCAAAGCGGTCAGCAGCGTAGACAGGGCATGAGGTTCCAGCATGGCTAATCAGAGACAGAAGAGCAAATCTGCCACGCCCTGCACCATGGGAGTCTGGAAACCCCTTTGCAGGAGCAGAGCGGATCCTGCGGCACTGCCCATCCCAGTGGCCCCCAAACCTCTTCGCAGCGACTGGGCGCATCCCGGCCGTGCCCAGGGCTCCATCCCCCAATGCCCCGAAAGGCCTGTGCAGCAGCTGGGCCGAGCCTGGCAGCGCCCCGCGGTTACCTGCGGTAGGAGGCGAGCTGCAGGACGCTGTAGGGGAAGAGGCGCAGGCAGGCGGTGAAGTTTCCCTTCCACAGGGCCCCGAGGCCCCCGGCCTCGGCGCCCGCCCGGCCCCG